TTTTTAAGGGTCCAGCGGGGAAGGCCGGAGGAAGAAAGAAAAGGAGAGGAAAGTAAGTCCAGTGGCGAGCTGGAGTCAGGCTCTTCCGGAGAAGACTCTCTTTCTGAGCAAGGGGCAGTAGCCCCAAAAAGTCCTTATAAGCTGAGAAAGAGACAAGGAAGAGGGAAATGAAGGCAGAAGGAGTCTGAATTATGCCTTTAAGAACTTTATAGTGGGATGATTGGGGGGTACTTGGCTATTGCAGTTAAAAATTAAGATTAATAGAAAAGAATAGTATAAAGGACAGACTCAGTTTGTAAAGAGATAAACGAAGTGAAGACTTGAAGAAGATAGCGGAATGAAGATCTCCTCTCTTGGGTTTTTAGATAGTAGTGGGTTCTTTTCTTTGTCCTGTATATGTAGTTCCCCCCTCCTTATTTCTGTTGTAGTTGTGTAGTCTTAGAAAAATAATAAAAAATCCCCTCCGGGGGCTGTAAAAAAAAAAAGCAATTGTTGATGAAATTCTATTTCTATTCTTTCACATCCAATGAGAAGAGTGATTCTTCATTCTATTCAGAAGACTCAAAGATTCTTCCCCAGGTTCTTTGATCATAGATCTAATATCTTCATTCCATGACACACCTATGAGAATATATGCTAAACAACTAATTTGTGTGGCCATCACATTGTGGGCTGGATATTTAATTATACTTCATGGGTCAAGGTGGCTTATAGATTCAAATTTAAAACTTGCAAAATGCAATAAAACCCCAAATAACTCTCTTCCCCTAAAAAATGTCAGCAGTTTACAACTTATTAAAGCCTTAGCAAATAAAATGGCTTTGCAGTCCTCCTAAAAACAGCACCCCTCTGCACTTCCTTGGGAACCTGCTCCAAAGAGTGGGAGCTATGATAGATAGCTATGATGGGATGTTGTCAATGCCAACATGCTCTTCTACCGCAGGGATACCGCAGGGATCAGCTAATGTCTCTGGTTCGGGTTGGCTCATCTGAGAGAGGTGAGGGGGTACCGGTTGCTTTTCTACAGGGAGGTGGATTGAAATTGTCCACAGAGGCCATGGCTGGTAACATGGACTGCCGGACAACGACTCGAGATAGCAAGACGAAGGAAGCAGGCTTAACTTGTAAGGGAAATTACAGCTGTTTCTATACAAATGCTAGAAGTGTCCGAGGTAAAATCGGGGAGTTGGAGTGCTTGGTGAGGGAGGGAAAAATAGACATTGTGGGTATTTCTGAAACTTGGTGGGATGAGGAAAATCAGTGGGACACAGTGATTCCCGGTTATATATTATATCGGAAGGATAGGGGGGGAAGGGTTGGAGGTGGGGTAGCTCTGTATGTCAGAGAGGGTATAAAGTCTAGAAAGATTGAGAGGCTAAGTGAATTGGATTCGCTTCTGGAAGTTCTATGGGTTGAAATAGGGGGGCCAAAAGGAAACTTAACACTGGGAGTTTGTTATCGCCCACCAGATCAAAAGATAGAGGAGGATTATAAAATGATGAATGCCTTAAAGATAGCAACTAGACAAAAACACTGTGTAATAATAGGTGATTTTAACTACCCACACATTGATTGGGTCAATATGTGTTCTAGTCGGGAAAAAGAGATTGAGTTTCTAGACACTCTAAATGACTGTGCTATGGAGCAGATGGTCACGGAACCTACCAGGGGAGAGGCGATCCTTGATTTGGTCCTAAGTAACACTCAAGACCTGGTGAGAGATGTAAAAGTGATTGCACCGCTTGGAAACAGTGATCATAATGTTGTTGAGTTCATCATTTGTACAAATAGAGAATTGGCCAAAAAGACTCACACAACCATTTTTAACTTTAAAAGGGGTAATTTCTCTGATATGAGGGGACACGTGGGGAGGAAACTGAAAGGAAAAGTAGAAAGGGTCAAAACAATTGGGGAAGCTTGGGATCTATTTAAAACTACGATCCTAGAAGCTCAAAAAATATATATTCCGCAGGTTAGGAAAGGCACAAACAGGTATAGGAAAAAGCCTGCATGGTTAACAAACAGAGTAATGGAGGCTGTAAAAAGTAAAAAGAATTCCTTTAAGCAGTGGAAAGCTAGTCACAGTGAGGCTGATAAAACGGAACACAGGCTATGGCAAATAAAATGCAAGTCTGAGGTCAGGCAGGCAAAAAGGGAATATGAGGAGCATATAGCAAAAAACGTAAAAACCAACAATAAAACTTTCTTCAAATACATTAGAAACAGGAAACCAGCCAGGGAGGCAGTGGGGCCCTTGGACGACCAAGGGGTAAAAGGAGTATTGAAGGATGATAGGGAAATGGCTGAGAAGCTAAATGCATTTTTTGCCTCCGTCTTCACTGTGGAAGATGAGAAGTGCTTGCCCACTCCAGAACCACTGATTTCAGGAGGGGTGTTGGAAGACCTGAGTCAGATTGAGGTGATGAGAGAGGAGGTCCTAAAACTGATAGACAACTTAAAAACTGAAAAATCACCAGGCCCAGATGGCATACATCCGAGAGTTCTGAAAGAACTCAAATGTGAACTTGTAGATCTCCTGACAAAGATATGTAATCTTTCCTTAAAATCTGCCTCCATTCCTGAGGATTGGAAGGTAGCTAATGTCACTCCCATCTTTAAAAAGGGTTCCAGAGGAGATCCGGGAAATTACAGGCCAGTCAGTCTGACGTCGATACCGGGTAAATTGGTGGAAACCATTATTAAGGAAAGAATTAGTAGGCACATAGATGAACAAAACCTATTGAGGCAGACTCAGCACGGTTTCTGTAAGGGAAGATCTTGTCTCACTAACCTGTTAGTGTTCTTTGAGGGGGTGAACAAACATGTGGACAAGGGGGATCCAATAGATATTATTTACCTTGACTTCCAGAAAGCTTTTGATAAAGTTCCTCATCAAAGGCTCCTAAGTAAGCTCAAAAATCATGGGATAGAAGGACAAGTCCTTTTATGGATCAAAAACTGGCTAGTTCATAGAAAACAGAGAGTGAGTGTAGGTGGGCAATTTTCTCAGTGGAGGGTGGTAAGCAGTGGGGTACCGCAGGGATCAGTACTTGGTCCACTGCTTTTTAACTTGTTCATTAATGATTTGGAGATGGGAGTAAGCAGTGAAGTGGCTAAATTTGCGGATGATACAAAGTTGTTCAGGGTGGTGAAAACCAGTGAGGATTGTGAGGCACTCCAAGGGGATCTGTCAAGGATGGGCGAGTGGGCGTCAACATGGCAAATGGGGTTCAATGTGGCCAAGTGCAAGGTGATGCACATTGGAGCCAAAAATCCTAAATATAAATACACATTGATGGGGTCTGAACTGGCAGAGACTGAGCAAGAGAGAGATCTTGGAGTTGTAGTGGATAACTCACTGAAAATGTCGAGACAGTGTGTGACTGCAATAAAGAAGGCCAATGCTATGCTGGGGATTATTAGGAAGGGTATTGAAAACAGATCAGCCAATATAATAATGCCCCTATATAAATCAATGGTGAGACCTCATTTGGAATACTGTGTGCAGTTCTGGTCACCACACCTTAAAAAGGATATTATAGCTTTGGAAAAAGTGCAGAAAAGGGCAACTCGAATGATAAAAGGGTTGGAACACTTTCCCTATGAGGAAAGGTTAAAGCGCTTAGGGCTCTTTAGCTTGGAGAAAAGACGACTGAGGGGTGACATGATCGAGGTTTATAAGATTATGCATGGGAAAGAGCAGGTAAAGAAAGAGGTACTTTTCTCCCTTTCTCACAATACAAGAACTCGTGGGCACTCCATGAAACTGCAGAGCGGTCGGGTTAGAACGGATAAAAGGAAGTACTTCTTCACCCAAAGAGTGATTAACACTTGGAATTCACTGCCACAGGAAGTGGTGGGTGCTACAAGCATGGATGGCTTCAAAAGGGAATTAGATAAGCATATGGAGCAGAGGTCCATCAGTGGCTATTAGCCACAAGGTATAGCTAGGGGCTCTGGGGCAAGTGATGCTCTGTCTTCTTGGTGCTTGGGGGGGGTCAACAGTGGGAGGGCTTCTAATGTCCTGGCCCCACTGCTGGACCTCCTGATGGCACTGGTATTTCTGGCCACTGTGTGACACAGAGTGTTGGACTGGATGGGCCTTTGGCCTGATCCAACATTGGCGTCTCTTATGTTCTTATGTTCTTACCGCAGACCAGCATGGCTACCCTCTGAAACCAAAAATAATATAAATCTCATTCAGATTTTCTGCTCAATGTTCTCTCTCGTCATTGGTGGTATCAACGCAGAGAGAAATAAAGAAGAAAGAAGCAAAGGGCCCTAGGAGAAAACATGTCTGAACTGAGCATTTGAGAATGAATTCAGACAGGAAGGGATTAACTTGCTCAGCTTCAGAGCCCTCATGCAACTTCCCCTTCCACATTCCTTCCCAGACATTTTGATAGGAAATTGCTTGCACATTTCCCCTTATATTGACTTAGACAAGAGCTAGATACTTTAGTTCTAAAGAACAACAGCTAAGAATTTAGTGAGGGGGCATGGGATATTTCTATGAAGGTATTCCCCT